TTACCTTCAAGCCTTTAAGACCCCAGACGCTATACTTTTTGATAGCCGGGCACCATCAGCTTTGAGTTAGTCTCAACTTATAGTGACCCCAAGAACAACAGAATGAAACATTGTTTGGTCCTGGGCAATCCTCACAATTGCTGCAGCTCCTGTTAGTATGTTTCCTTGAGGATCTTCTTCATTTTAAATGCTGATCCTCTCAGTTTACCAAGCATGATATCCTTTTCCAGGACTATTATCTCCTGATAACGTGCCCAAAGTACAGGAGACCAAGTCCTGCCATCCTTGCTGCTTAGTAGCTTTCTGGCTATACTTCCTCCAAAATAGACTCGGGTTTTCTTCTGAAAGTCCACGGTACTTTCAGTATGCTTCAACAGCAGCACAATTCAAGTGCTCAGTTCTTCTGTAATCTTCTGTATTCATTGTCCAACTTCACATGTATATGAGGCAACTGATAATGCTATGGGTTGGGTCAGGCGCACCTTTGTGACATCTTTGAAATTTAACTTTTTTTCCCCAAATGTAACATTTTGAAGAGGTCTTGTGCATCAAGTTTACCTGATTCAGTGCACAATTTAATTTAATTGTTGTTTCTATGTGTGTTGATTTGTAGGACCCAGTAAAATGAGATTCTTGACAACTACAATCTTTTCTCCATTTATTAAGCAAAAATGTCAAAATGGGAAACTATTGTTTGTCAACATATTCTCCATCTAGATTTATATTTCTAAAGGTTCTGTTTCCATCTCTGCATTCTTCTGTTTATACCACGTCAAAGGGGCAGTTTAGCATCCTCATGGGATTCAAATCATGTTCCTTTTTAATATTCTTTGAATTTGAGGAACAAAAGGAGGTCTGGGGAGTCACGATGAGTCTGTAGGGTGGATGGGGTAAGGTTTCCAGTGAAATTCTCAGAACAGCCCCTGCTGTTCTCAGAGCATGAGTAGGTATGTTGGCATGATGGGAAAAATCCCTCTGCATAACTTGCTTGTTTCTTATCAATTCAGCTTTCAGTTTTCTTAAAGCTTCTTCATAACAAGTTCCTGTAAATATCTACGTAAGTGCAAGTTAACTAGAAAGAGCAATTGTCTTTTGAGAGAACATCCCAGCCTAGTCCATATCAAGTCCATAAGTCTGATATTACCCCCGTATGTCTGATACTGCTCCATAAATTCTTCTTCAGACTCACACAGCACATGCAGTGATGCCGAATGCAGGAAGTTCACAGGCCAGTGGGTCTAAAGTCTTGTGGATCCAGTGCTGGTGGAAGCATTCTCAGCACTGGCTGCTCTAGCTCTCTGGATATGCCTCCTCAACAGGAGGGTGAAGCAGAGAGAGAGAGAGTAGCCTGCCTCCAAAGAGCCATTTATCTTGGTTGTACCTCCAATTGGGGTCATCAAGCTGTGACCTGATTAACAGGCTAAACTCCACCCCTTCACTCTTAATACCCTATAGTTGACATGAGATTGTTTAACTGCCACACTGGCCTTTGTCTTTTGACAAAATTTATCAAGATGGCCCCTTTGAAATCCTAGAAAAGTGACCATAACCTTAGGAGCTGACCTCTCTGCCTAGAATTTAACTGGCTCAGTAGATCCCCTCAGAAGTCACTGTTTTATTTGGACTTTTTTTTTTTTTTTTTAAAGGCACCCTAATGAAATTAAGGCAAGTGTATTACTGAGAGAACTTGTCTTTGGCCATCCTTCATAACAGAAACATATTTAATTAAACACATTTTACTTGGAAGAAGCCTATGTGTGTTTGATCTAGAACTCTAATAACAATGCTTTTTGACTTACCTTCATATACCTCTGAAGTATAAATTATTTTAAAGTATATTTTTAAGATAACTTAACTTCTGTATATTACCATCTAAAGTGTTTACAATTTTTTTCTTATTTCATATCTTTATTGACAAATTTTATTTTTATTTTTATTTTTTGTTTTTCTGATTAGTACTTTTATTTATTTTTTTAAAAAACATTTTATTAGGGGCTCATACATCTGTTATCACAATCCATATACACATCAATTGTGTAAAGCGCATTTGTACATCATTCTCAAAACACTTTCTCTCTACTTAAACCCCCGACATTAGGTCCTCATTTTCCCCCTCCCTCCCCGCTCCCTCCTCCCTCATGAGCCCTTGATAGTTTATAAATTGGTAT